TTTTTGACTGGTTTAGGTGTGGCAGATATGTAATAAATAGCTACGTTGATGGATGCTGGCTTTAAAATGTCTAGCAGGTGTCTTGCGTGCTTTGCAACCTTTATGGAAAGAAGAAGCAATGGCTTTTTAAAGGTATTCAGTGATTTTTAGAGAGAACAGACCACTTACAGCCTAACGGGTGTTGTGTAGCCTGTGCCGGGCTACCAGTAGCCCAGCAGCCCTCCCTGTGTACCGGCGCCCGGGGTGCCCAGACATACTGGCCGAGCCCTCCTTCACCAAAGCAGGCACGGTCTGGGGGTCATTTCCAGGATTAGCAAGATGTGTCCCAACTGCAAATGGGCCGGGTTTCCACTGCTCGGAACGCGCTGGGGCTTCTGGAGCTGCTGCTCGCCAGGCACTACGAGCATCGCCCAGAGGTCTGCAGGCTGATGCGTGTAGGCAGCTGACACCTTTCTGGGCACGGCAACCTGGACATCTGGGCTTGTGTTTTATGACACCTGGTTTCGTCACGCTCCTTCTCCAGCAATCTGGCTGCCTGAGGATAATTTCCCACATGTGAGACTTACTGCAAGTGCTGGGGGAGTAAATCCAGCCTGTTTATGGGGGCCGTAGGGGCGGGTTCTGGAGAGGACGGAGGCGAGGGCTCTGCAGGCGCAGGGAGCCAGCCTGCATCTCGGGGCTGCACAATGGCTCTGGGTGAGAACATGGCTCCCGCATGTGTTGCTCCCATCTCCACCCACGCTGGAGCTGGTGAGGTTGCCCCAGGTGTGGAGGGTAACAGTGGAGGGTTTGGGAGTGCTGGTTCAAGTGGGGAAACTGAGGCACACTTTGCCCAAGAGCACTGGGACAGAGTGAGGCCAAACAGGTACCCAGCTGCACAAGCACAGTGAAAAGAACAATTTTCTGAAGGTTGGTGTCGTGATGTCCTGCTCCCAGGGCTGCGTGGGAGGGCGATGGCAGAGGGGTGAGGCTGGGAGCGCTGTGCCCTGCCCTGCCACCCCCTGCCACCTCCCCCGTCGGCAGACGCCCAAAGGCTCTTGCTTGGCTTTGCTTTGGGGCTGCGAAGTCCGGGCAGTGGCCTGAGCTGCTGCCAACTCGAACAAAACTGAGGTTTAGGGAGCGGGTCCCACCGCGCAGTGCCCTCCTGCCCTCCCGTCTGCTCCGCACAGCAGAGCCCTCGCTGCCCGGAAAACGTCTTTTGGGGCTCCCTTCACCTGTGGGTTTAGGAAAGAAGCAGATTGAGCAAGCAGAAGCAGCTCGCTCTCATGCTGTCCAGAAAGCCCCATCTAGTGGCATATTTTGCGATGAATTAATGCTGCACTGCTGGGAATAAAAAATGACAAGTCACTTCATCCCTCTGGGTCCTGCAGGTGCGCAGTGCCTCTGGAGGCGCCTGTTTATTTGGCTGGGTTTTGGCTTGCTGAAGTGAGCAAGGCTTGAGGGGCAGGATGGGTGTCAGTCCCCTTTAGGGGTGTCCTGACCTTGTGTGACCTTGAGATCGTCTCCAGCTTTTGCCCAAAGCCTCCCTGCCTGCAAAAGGGGCCGATACTGGGCTGCCCCACGGGATGCTGTGCGGCCGGAGCTGGTGGCATCAGCAGAGCCCTGGCAGAAGTTGCCATCGGGGCAGGACCGCGGGGGCTGGCGGTTCGGAAACCCACGACCCGGGTGTCTCATCTCAGAGCTGATGCAAACATCACAGAGGGGAGAGAGCAGGCGGCCAGAGTTGGTCATAAGGCTTGGCAAGCACAGAAGAACCTTCTCTGTTTTAGAAGGAGGGGGTGGAAATCAGGCTGTAGGATCAGCTCCATTGATTTTTTTTTTTTTTTTTTCTTTTTTTCCTGGTGGCCTGATTCAGCATCTGCCAATGTAAAGCTTAGCCAGGACTCGGTTTGGCTTCTGTAAGGCGAGAAATAAATTTCATTGATCAGGGTGCCCTTCTGCATCCCGCTTCGGTTGAACTAATCCTGAAACTAGACACGCAAGTAACCTGTAAAATGCTGGGGTGGGGGAAAGCCACTGGAGAAAAAAAAAAACCCAAACCAGCCTGGATCTGCTGAGATAGGAAGTAGCAAAGTGGAATCTGATCTGAGGCAAGTCCTGGGAGCACTGCAACCCCACAAGTGCTTTCTCAGAAATTTTCAGGCCTTTTTTTTGTAGATTGACTGGCAACACGTCCTAGAGCATCCCTGGACAGCAGGAAAATCCCCAGGCTTTTTGGTGCAGGTACAGCAGCGGGCTGAGAGCAGTAAGGCTGGCAGGGCTGCGCTCAGAGCTGCTTGTACCGAGCCATCTCCAAACCAAGCGCTAGTGCTCATCAATCAAGCTAATTGGGCTGTGCAGGCATTCCCAGAGAAGGTGCCGTTTGCTAGTGAAGCTTGAGGTTTCAGGTGAGCAGCAAGCAGGAGCTACCAAGTTATCAGAGTGAAGTGGGTGAGCTGAACTGGGAAGGTTTTGGAGGAAATGGTGAGTTTGGGACTGGGTCCTCTCCGAGCTTGTCGTTTCACCCAGAGGAGGTGGTTTGAGCAAGAATGCCAGCAGCAATGTTTCGGTACGTTTGCTATGAGCCTGACAGTTGCAGTCCAGAACCCAAGACATCTGCCATCCTCTGCCGCAGGCAGCACTGGATATGCTTGAACAGTAGAACAAACGGTAATTCGGGCAGAATATGAAACCGCTGAGTTTTTTGTCTCTTTTTTTCCCCCACCTTTCCCTCCTCCTCCCTCACCACGAGTGACCTCCATCTTGTGTGGGACACTATGGAAATGCACCTGGAGAGCCCGCTCTCCCTCTTCCCCCCCATCCTACCTTGTGGCAATTTGAATTCACTTCTCAGGCTTGTCTCAGACTAGTTTAACTTCCATGATTTCGGTGGTTCCCCCACTCCACCTGGACACAGCAGCCCTGCTGCACGCTGTCCTGCTCCACAGCTAAAACCCGTGCCCTTCCAACACCCTCGGTCACTGCCACCTTTATGTGACACAGCTTGAAGGGCTGGACGCTTCCAGGGGTTTGCGCACGCTTTATTACAGAGAAGCAGGACTGCGCTCCATGGCAGGAACAACTGCTCGGAGGTGACCTTGAGCCAGGCTGCCGCACCACATTCGTGGGGTAAAGAGCCTCGCTGCGCCCCTTCGCAGGGCTCCTGCTGCAGAGGGGAGTGGGGAAAGCCGGTATCGGTTTTAAATAATGGTATCTGTGCCCCAGCTTCATACACACCTACTCCAGGTCAACACTCACCGAGGGGCAGGGTAAGTGTTAAAAGAGTCTAAAAGGGAGAAATATTGTATCTAAGAACAGTACTTTCAAATGATTTTCAAGAGGGCACAAAACCAAAACCTGAGCAGACAGCGTCTGCTGAAGCAGCAATAGCCCTTGAAAAACAGCAGCAGCACAGATGACTAGTACTAAATATCTACATTTAAAAGCAAAGTATGTATTATACCAGATTTACTGCAGGGAGAAAGAAGGGAAAGTGAAGAAAACCAAAACCGTGTGCATGGGTAGGCAGGACAGTGCTGGAAGAGGAAGGTGAAGGGAAGGGGACAGTAAAGTACTAACCCGATACTCAGAAATCCGTTAAATTTAATTTGAGAGTACGAGCCAATATCGCATAGTAAGTAACTGCATTGCACTTGAGAGCAAAAGAACAGTTTTAGTTGTATTCTTATTTTAAATTATTTTGATTTATTTGAACTCTAAATCTGAACTTCCTGGATTCATAGTGCAAATTTTAGGGATGATTAGAATAAAATCTACAAACAGCAATTATCATCCAGAATGTCTGAGACTTCTCTAGCACAGAATGCAAGGCCAACTGTCTACAGCTGCTATAGTCTATTTTTATACAAGTGCTTGTGACTCCTTGGCTTGCTGACCACTAATTTTCAAGTGTGCAAGTAAAAACTGCGGTATTTGACTCCAACATGGTTGTTTGGTATGTGCGTACAGCTGACACTGAAAGCAGAATTTTGTTTGTTTTAAAAAAAAAATGTCTTGAGCAGAGATAAGTGTAAGTCAAATTATTCAGTCATTAGTTTGCTGGGTTTTGACAAACATTTATTAATGCAAGTCTCAGCAACAAAATTTTTTATTTCAATATTTTCAGCCAGAAGGAAGGTTATAGCTCTGCACCACAAAGCCTGTACGATACACAGTCCTTGTTCACCCTGTTTCCACCCTGCTTTGTGTATCAAACATACTTGGAAACAACCTGTATAGACAGCTCCACCACCTCCACTTCCGAGACAGCATGGCCCAAAAAAACTGTTAGCCTGCTTCACTCCCCCCTAAATTATTCCTTCTGTAAAGCACAAATAACAAAATATATTTTTGCTTCTAAGAGCTTCACTTATCTGCAGAAAAATAGAACTGGTTAAGAGTGAGCTAGTTAGATTATGAAAAGGTCCAAGCACACACCCACACATTTGGGACCTCCCAACAAATCTGTGAGGAGGAAGCATTCACAATTTGATCCAACTAAAAAGGAGCCAGACAGCATTCACGGAAAGGAGATCCATCCTATCCGAAACACCGAATGCCTTCTCATTCTTCTCTCCAGAGCAGGATGAGGAGGATAGTGCTGTAGCTATGAAACATTTCTCTAAGAACTGGGACACATTAAGAATGAACCTTCCAAACACCACAAAATTTCAGAACAAAACCTAAAAGGCTTTTTTTTCCCAAAACATAGTGAAAACAGCATATAGAGCTTGAATATCCACAGCACAAACTGAAAAACAGAGGGAGTTAATTTGATCTACAGTGCTTTTGTTAAGGTATTCAGAGACTTTAGTGCATTCTTTTTAGAACTAAGCTCGGAAACTATATTCCATTTTTTATTTTATTAGAAAACTAAACTGTACGAGGCAAAGAAACATCTGATCAAACACACAACAGTGAAAACATGGCACTGACAAGGCATTTAACCCAACCATTATCGCAAACTCTGATTCGGGATTCTCTATTGCTTCCAGTCAAGTATACATCATTTCTGCCATGTGAGACATTTTCTTGGGAATATATAAGTAGTATTCCATGTATCCCGAAAGATCTTCAATAGTCACGTCATCCACAAAGGCTCGAGCTTGCTCAGAACAAGACCTAGGCGAACCTGACGAGGCCGTCCCACAAGGGGACCTGTTCTGACGAGACCGGGCATGGACTCCCAGGACGGCCTTCTCGCACTCTGACAGGACGCTCCGCAAGCCAGAGAAGGAGTACACTTCCATGGTTCGCCACTGTTTGCACTGGCATTTCTTGTCCGTACAAGGGCACTGCTTGCCGTTGCTAAGCATGGATAAGGACTGGAAATCTGAGGTTTGGCTACAACGCAAGCTAGTTTCAAAGGATGAGGAGAGAGCCGGGCAATCCTCTCTCGACTTCTCCAAAGGCTCTTCGGCAGTGAAAGCTTCCAAAGGTTCAGTTCTATCATCACTGGCCTCAAGGCGAGAACCGTGCCTGTCCTTTGTACCGTGCTCTGCTGTAACAAAAATGTCTGAACTGACGTTACTCTTCGAAGTGTCTGACTGGGTTTTGTGTTTCAGCTGGTTGTTGGCTTTCATGTTACAATATGTAAACTTGGGAGGGTGCAGGACAGGAGACTTGGAGCGTCTGCGACGTGGGACTCTTGCCGATCCTCTGGAAGGCTTTTTCACACACCTGCAGGGTTGTAACACGTGAGCAAGGACGTAACTCCAGAATCTACACCATAGCTAAGTAAGCTCTAAAATATGGCTAAAAAACGTTTTAGATAATTTTTATTTTCTGCTTAAAAAATCAGGTGACTCATCACTTATAATCTCTGACAGAAACAGTGGAGGAGTCTGAAGAAATTTCAGCTCCCCAAAGGAAAGACACAAACCTCCCTCATTTAAAGGTACTTTCCCCTAAATAGTCTGTGTTAAGCAAATGATACTTTGTCATCCCAAACTGAACTGTAGTGCAGAACCTGGCTATCAGTTGGAGCTGCTGGCAGAATTGCACTGAATATCCAGGTACTGCATTACAAAAATAAAATAAGACAAGAAACAGGTAAGAAAGAGTTGCGAAGGTGTAAGACTTGAAGAAAAGGACTTCTGAGGAAATCAGGGGAAGAGAATGTTTTGGGGACCCTCTCCAAGAGAAGAGGCAATATTGGTTTTCAAGTCTTTGATGAAAGCCCCTTAAAAAACAGCATATCAAACAGCGATGCTAAAGTTTTATAATAGAAACGAGAGAAAATACATGTTGAAGCAACTAATCAACAACAACTTTCACTGGAAACGGTATGCAAGTGTTAAATGTCTGAAACCAGAAACAGATGTACGGTGCGGTGAACGGTGTGCTTTACCCATGCCAGGCTTCCTTTGAGCAGACAGTCTGCTGCTTGGCTCCATCCATGGCTGCTCTTACCAGTGGTCTGAGAATCGTCCCGTCGCCCACAGACAGAGCTGCAATACATCTGAGTAAAAAGGGAAATGCCACGTTACAGTAGTGCCTGCACGTACCGCTTCAGACGCCTAGGGTCAGCCTGTTCGCTTTAGATGCTTAGCTAAGACATTCAGGTTTGCAGCCTTGACTTCCACTGCAGTCGGTGGTTAGAAACAGGATATTACAGAGATTTATCCAACCACTCTTACTATATTGACCGCAGTCAAGTGTCTAAAGATAGGTGAGATGAAATGAAAGGAGGCTGAAATGCCCAGAGGCTGATGTCATGCCCTATTTGTGTACCAAAAGGACACGGTAAAGGAATGCAAACTCGGGCTCCAAATGTTGTTGTTAGACAATAGTTGTTAGACTCCCACTCATCTGAAATGCAAAGTCAGGAACCCCGAGCAGCAGGCTGAGGAGCCGTCAGTGGAGCAGTGCACAAGGTACAACAGACAAGGACAGATTACTAATTTATTTCTCATAAAATTTCTCATTAAATTTCCCAGATAAACATGGGATCAAAAAAAACCACATCTGGCCCTGGAGGTCCAGACAACAAACAAAAATGCCTCGGCACAAGAATCTGTATTTCTGACGGCTGTACGTGTGATTTGGAACACGGGGTAGGAAATCGTAAGAAATGAGGCTGAAATTCTAGCAGAAGAGCCCAAGTACTCTGCCCAAAGTTGGTCTTAAGGGATTAGTCACATGACTTGAGCTGTTCAAAACACATGCCGGCAAAACAAGACCTTTTTATGCCTAAGACGATACCATTGGGAATCAACCAGAATTCCACGCAGTCTGTCACTGGTAATACACCAAAAGTGGTAACGCTTAATAAGCACAGCTTACTTGTCAGAGAACAGCTGGGGTTTTTCCCATGTTTAACAGAAGACCTCTTGAAGTAGGGGAAACAAGCAGCGAAGCAAAATATATTTTAACAAGCAGAGGAAGTAATGAGCTCGCCGTATTGATGGCTGTGGAGATGAACTCACAAGGCAACATGAATTATCAATGCAAAGCTCTCTCGTGTGTCTCTTGTGAACTCCCAAACGACTGCAAGGGAACTACTTCACAGAGCATCAGGCTGCGTCATTTTACAAACTGCTGCTTTTGAGGAAGATGCTTATGCTCTGCATTATCGGTATACCCAGTGTGTTATGGAGTAAGTTTTTAGTATAAAAATGCCTGTAAGACATTTTACTCTACAAAAAGCCCCTGAAATCAGAAACGATCAGTGCTTATATTTAGCCTGATGACTTCCAGTGAGACGAGGCTCTCCAGCTCACTACGAAGTGTTGGCGCTGCCCTTCAGACCCTTTCCAAGCACTACAGTAAAGGCTGGCACCGTGGCCGAAGACGTCAGTGTTTACGTGAAGGGACAAACAAGCTCGGTATCACACAGGGCGGCTTCGGTGGCGTTCAGTGCTTTGGGCGAGTCATTTCGCGTTTCCACACAGCCACTGTGTAATTTCAGTCGGGCACCGCGCCGCAATTAGGCGGTAATCAAGTCCTGCTTTGCCAATTAGACCGTTCTAACGGCTGCATCTCATCTGAAGCGACGCGGCCGTCCCCTCTCGGGGAGCGAGGAGCCTTGCACCGAGCTGCGGCGCTTGTTTTGGGAGCCGAAGTGACAGAAAAGAGGTGCAAACGCGTAGTGAGGAACGGACGAACGCCAGCTTACCCTGCTGCGTCC